AGTTGAGCTCCTTCCTCGAGGTCTCTCACGGGTTCCCCGACCGAGGGCGTGGGGCTTTTGTTCCCTTTCTTCACCAGCCCCTTGTCCAGGGCCACTCTGTTGCCTTTGCCTGGAAAGGCCAGCTTCCCTCCTTGGTGTCAGCCTTGCTTCACCTTCTTGACCGACCCGACGCTGTGCAGTCCCTCTTGTGGTCCTTTTTGGACACTTCTCTCCCCTCCGAGGTCCGCGCCTTTTGTGACCGGGTGAGCGACGGCTCTGCTTCTTCCGCCACCCTCCGCGCCGAAGGCACTGCCCTCCTTGGTCAACTCCGGCGCGAGCAAACTGCCCAGCAAGCTGACCAGTACGGTGAGTGGCTGGAGGAAGCTTCGAGTTCGCACCTGGGGCCGCTCTTTCGAGCCATCAAGTCCCATGAGCAGGTGCTTGATCGGCCCTTTCAAGACTGCGATGGACTTCGCCGTGTCTTTGAACGGCATGAGCATTGGGCCCGCGTCTGGCAAGCTTCGGTTTTTCCCCAGCACTTTGCTCACCCTCTCCTCGCGGAGCTCCGCTTGAGGGCCGTCTCCCATTCTGGCACCCTGGCTCCCTTGACTGTTCCCCACCTTCAGAAACTTCTCAAGAAAGCCGGGAAAAAGAAAGGGGGCCCGGACGGCTGGAGCTACCCAGCCCTTCGGGCACTGGACCCGGCAGCTCTTCAGCTTGTTGCCGACTTCCTCGCCCGTGCGGAGGCTGAGGTGCTTCTGCCTTTCCAGCTCACCTGCGTTCAGGTCGCTCTTCTCCCGAAGTCGGCCGACAAGGAACGCCCCATAAGTCTTCTACCGTGTCTGTGGAGATTGTGGGCACGGGCTAGGTGGCAGGACATCTCGGCTTGGACGTCGGCTTACGCCCCCGCCCACCCGTGGGACCGGGCGGTTCCAGGCCAGGCAAGCCTGGACCCGGCACTGGCCCGCCTTGTCAGATCAGAGCATTCAAAGCTCGAGAGGACGCACATAGTGTCGCTCTTCCTCGATTTGCGAGGCTTCTTCGATTCTGTGAGCTATGAGCGCCTTCTCCTCCAAGGGCTCGCTCACAGTTTCCCTCCTCTTCACCTCTGGTTTGCCCTCCAGGTCTACCAGGGTCCTCGCTGCCTTGTGGCCGACTCGATCGCTGCCACGCCGCTCTTTCCTGGCCGGGGCGTGCCCCAGGGTTGCCCTCTCGCTCCCTCGCTTTCCAAACTCACCATGTCCGAGCCACTCCAGAAGGTTTCTTCCCTTCCCTTCGTCACCAACACAGACTTATGGTTGGACGACGTGAGTTTAGACGTGGTGGGTTCCGACCCTGTCGAGGTCGCTTCCTCTGCGCTTCAGGCCTACCGGGTACTTCACACCTCCCTCGGCCTTGAGGGCCTAGAGGTTGAGACCACAAAGACCAAGTTCGTCGCCGGCACGGCCCGCGCTCGCGCCGCGCTTCAGCAGCTGCGGCGCCCCGGCGAACCCGACACCGCCGACCTGGTTAAGGATCTCGGCCTTGACTGCGCTGCTGGCCGACGGCGGCGCATCACCACCGCCCAAAAGCGCTTTCGCACCGGCATCGGCCGAGTCCGCCACATGCGCCGCCTCCGCATACGCCGCAGGTGGGTGCGTGGCCGGCTGCTCCAAGCCTCCGCCCTTAAGGCTGGCCTTTATGGCCACCAGGCCGTTGGGGTTGCCCCTAAGCGCCTTAAGGTCTTACGCTCGGCGGTGGCGCGCAAGGCTGGTCGTTTCGAGCACGGCTCCGCCGACGTCATTCTCGACCTCATGTCCCACAAGGCCGTTGACCCACACCAGCTTGTGGTTGTGGAACAGCTTCAGGCCTCCAGCGCCTCACCCGAAGGCGTGAGGTTACTCACCCGCACTTGGGCCTCCTCCTGGTCCAGACAGGCCTCTGCCACCCATGGGTGGAAAATCGTGAACGGACCCGTTTCCGCGCTCATCCAGTACTTACTGGACTTGCGGGTGTCTGCCCCTACCCCTGAGGTCTGGACACACCGCGAAGCTACCTTTCACTTCCGCTTCCGCGATCCGGGAGCGGTTTTTGAGGCCTCTGCTTTCTTACGCCGGGTCATACAGCTCGAGCGCTGGTCCCGTATCGGCACCGTCTCCACTGCCGCTGGTGCCGCCTTAGGCATCGATTGGACCGTGCCCCGCCGCCTCTTAGCCAGTCCTCGGACGAAGCCCTGGCGGCATGGCCTTAGGGCCGTCTTTCAAGGCGCCCTCCTCCACTCTGGCAACGGAGGGAAGGAACGGTGCAAGTTCTGTGGCGGCCCCAACACCCTGCACCACCTCCTTTACGAGTGCGAAAACATCCCCGGCGCCCTCATGCCCGCGGGCTGGTTGTCCTACAAGCGGCGCCACCCTGCCGACTGCCTTTGGTTGCGCGGTATGCGCCCCCTTTCCCCCCGCGAGCCCCTCGCCCGCGAGGCTGAGGTACGCCGTACTGGCCTCTTTCTCGAAGGCACCCCTGACTTAACCGGGCTCTGCGTTGCCACCGACGCTTCCGGAGGCCCTGCCTCCAAGGATAGTCGCCTCCGCTCGGTCGGCTGGGCCGCGGTGGTTGCCAGCAGGAGTGATGGCGACCTTGTCGTGCTGGGCACCCTGTCCGGGCTTTTGCCTGCCCCTGCTTCTGTGCCGGAGGGTGAGAGCGAGGCCATCGCTCAGGTCCTCCTCTCTTCCAGAGGCACTTTTGACCTCACCTGCGACTGCCAGCCCGCCCTGCGCAGCCTCCAGGGGCCCTTCACGAAGCGCACCTCGCTTGTGTGGGCCAAGGCTTGGGAACACAGGCACCGAGCTGAACCCCACTGGGTGCGCTCTCACCTTAGTCCCTCGGACTTTTGTTTTGAGTTCGGCGCTGACGCCCTGTGGCGCCATGAGCTCAATTCTCTGGCGGACAAGCTCGCCAGGGACCGCGCGGAGGAGGTTCAGACCCCACACCGTCTTGCCGCCCAGAAGGAGGTCGACCGTGTCACCTCCCTCGTTTGCGAGTATCTCGGTCACCGCGCGGTCGCAATTTTGGCCAAGGCCGAAAAGGAGGATTTCGTGCCGCGGAAGAACCGCCTCCTCTCCGCTCTTGAGCCCTCCTCTTCCCCCTCGCCCAACAAGAGGCAGAGGTTGCAGGCCCTTCTTGACGAACCCCCTCTCCCGGGAGGGCACGTTTGGTCTCGCACCTCTAAGGAGAAGAGTTTCAACATGTGTGTTAAATGCTCCGAGTGCTCCCTTTGCATCTACCAGGTTGACACGCCGGAAACCTTTGAGCGCCTCATTTCATTCCCGTGCCGAACGGCTGCGGTTTCGTGCCCCTTTCCGGTCCACCCCTCGCACAGTCTTGTGCGCCAGGGGCCTTCCTGGAAGTGTGGCCAGTGCCATGGCCAAGTGACTCTTCGCATGGGCGTCGCGCCAAAAAAGCTCGTAGCGCCTTGTGCGCTTCCTTCGGTGCGGGGGTTTTTCTCTACGGGTTCCCCCTCCCCTGGGCTCCAGGCTTCTCCTTCTGCCTCTGCCGCTGCCCCTAAGGTCCCCTCCGTGCCTTGCTCCTGGGGTTCACTTCAGGGTTCTGCGTCTGCTTCTGCCCTCACTTCGGTTGAGGTTCCAAAACCCCAAGCCTCCCCTTTCGAAGGCCCCAGGTCTCCTTCGGAGGTTCCCCGGGCCCAGGCTCTTGCTAGCCCTGGTTTGGCACTTGAGGCCCCAGCTCTACAGGCCCCAGGCTTCGCTCTTCCTAGTGTCCCCGCCTCCAAGCCTAAAGCTAGGCCTCGTCCCAAGCCCAAGCTCAAGCCTTCCGCCGCGTGCCCTCCAATCACTCAGTTCTTCCGCTAGCTTCGGCTCAAGAAGGGCGACCATGGGGCCCAAAGGAAAGGGTCGTCACGCCCACGAACAGCAGGAGCGTTTCGACCAAACAAAGCCAAAGCTCGCCAGGAGCATGACCGTGAGCGGGTGCAGGCGAATCCGCCTCCCGCACCACCACCGGCTCCTCGCCGAAGGGCTGAGGTCGAAGACGACGAGGACCAACCCCTTCCCTGGTCACGCCGCGTGACAAACCGCACGACAACCAGCGAACTCCTGGCTGGAGTTGCGATCCTACGGCCCGGTGGGTTCCGAGGAACCCACCGTCCGGCCATATTCGCGCGCTGCGGCAGGTAAAGCCCGCCAGTCGCGACGTTTCTCCGAGGAGAAACTGCAACGAGGAGAGCGGGTTGAGCGTGAGGCGATGCCAATCGCCCTGCCCCCCCCGCCTTGTTTCGATCTCGAGATAGAGCACATCCGGATCTTTGCGTTTCGGCGGGGGGGGGCGGGGGGGGTTGGGTTTGGCAACGGGGGGTGGGAGGGGGGGGTTGTCTGCCGGCCTGGTCGCCACTGCCGCTGGGGCAGGCTGCGGGGGGGAGGACGGGGAGGAGTCCGCAGACTCCACCTCCATTGCAACCTCAGCCACTGGGGGCGAGGGGCCGGCAGAGCCTGACGACTTACTGGCTGCTCGTGGACGAGCACGAGATCGCGGCTCATGACAGCCCGCATCTCGCGGTGCCGCCCTCGCCCCTGGTGGCTGAGGTCCCCCAACGAGAGGTGGCACCAGAGCTCCCCCCAGCAACCTCCTCGCCTCCGGCTGAGGTTTCCCTCCCCCGTGCTGCTTCCCTGGCCACACGTGGGTCTTCCCCGCTCCCGGAACCAACTGGCCCTCCGATGAGCTTTCACCCCCGTAACCGTGGGCCTCCAGCACAGGTGGAGCACTCAGTCACTGCTGGAGTTGCCTCCTCAGCCCCGGCCGGCCCCCGGCCCTCTCCGGTGGCTGAGGCCTGTCCCCCGACAGGTCCTAAGAGCCTTTCCTCGCCTTCGGCTGAGGTCGCTTCTCCTTCCCCGGCTCCTCCTCGGCAGCCGGATGTGGAGTCCGCCTCCTCGGCCCTAGCTCAGGCTCCGCGCCCAGGCCTTCCCCAACAGGGCACCCCTGCTTCCAAGCCCTCTGGCAACCCCTGAGGTCAAGCCCTCGCCTTTGGCTGAGGTAGCAACCTCTGGTTCAGTGGGCCCCGAGCCCAAGGCTACCGCCCGGCCTCCCTCAGGCCCTCCTGGTACCTTGTCAAAGAAGGGTGAACCTGCCCCACACACACCCAGTGGCCCGGGTAAAGGGGCCACAATCTCCACCGCTGCTTCGGCAGCTGCAACTCCAGACGTTGCCTCCACAGCTGGCAGTGGCCCCCTTGAGACCCTCGCCTCCTTGGCTGAGGTTTCGGGTCTCTCCACGGCCCCGCCGGACCCTGCAGAGCCAGAGCTCGCTGGCCTCGCAGCGGTTGCCGAGCAGAGAGGGGCCAGTCCTCGGGGGTCTCAGGTGACGAAGCGACGGACTCTCCAAGCTCGTCTCCTCGCCGGCCGGCTAGAGGTCCGGCTCCAGCTGAGGCTCGTCAAGAGCCGGCCCACGTGCAGGTCTTCAGCGAGAACTTCCTCCGCTGTTTTGCATGCGGCGTTCACAACTTCCAATCAACAACGATGGAAGCCCATGCAATGACCTCCAGGCACGTCCGCCTCCACGGCCTATGTGGCCAAGCGAAGGCGCGAGCTGGCAGCTGCCCAGGCTGCCCAGCCTTCCGTGCCGTAGGCCCCGAGCCTTGGCACTCGTCTCCCCAGGCACACCTCAGGCTCCTTCCTCGCCTTTTGGCTGAGGTTCGACCCTCAGCGGTGCTTGGAGGGCCCCGGGCATCCCTTGGTCCTTTCCTCGCCTGTTCGGCTGAGGTCTGCTTCTGAGGCAGCCTGCCCGGGCTCCGGTAGAACCCCGCCTGTACAGACTTTGGTAGGGCCTACCCCTCGTCTGAAAACGACTGAGGTTGGCGGGTGTAACTAGCCACCTGTAGTCCAGGACGTAGGGCCGCCCTTGCCCAAAGTGGCTGAGGTTTCTCACCAGAATGCATGCTGAATTCATCTTCGGACACGTCTACGACGGCTTGCAGCTCGGCGACGAAAATCCCATTTGACCTTGGATGTCCTGATGTTTTCGGCATGCCTGAAGCTGTGAGGAGTGCTTTTGAGTTAGGAAGTGACTGCACGTTCGTTTCGTCTCGTTTCGTTAGTGCTTGAAGTGTTTTGCTTGGAGACAGACAGCTGCAAGGTGTTTCACTGTCAGTCAGAGCCCGACGCGACTCCGCTTTGGCTCAAGAAAAAGACCGAGTGCTGCGCGCTCTGTTTTTCACAAGGTCCGAAAGATCGTCTTGAAGAGACACTGCGCTGAGAATGCTTTCCCAGCGGGCTAAAGAGAAGAAGAAGCAAATCTACCTCATGAAGGCCATCAACAATGGTATGAAGAAAAAGCCGAGAAGCAGAAGGGCGCGCGGGTCAGAAGAACCTGGGAGAAGCATGTCAAGAACCACTGTGCTCAGATCACGGCTGGAGATCCCGTTCGTGGAGGTGACGATTTCCGGAATCGTCAAGGAGCCTCGTGGACCGCCGGCACCGTCGACGGTGCCGCAGCCGAAGACCCTTCCAGCGCGAGCTGCAAGGGCCCCGGAGGTCAAGGCGGAGGGCGCGTGTGCAGCAAAGGTGCCGGAGGTCATGGTGGAGGGCATGGAGATCAATTTCCCACCACCGGTGCGCCGAGGAGGAGACTTCCCACGCTGCCGAGGGACCCGAGGTCAGCCGGACGAGGGCCCTCTGCGCCCTCAGAGTGGTCACTTGTGTCCAGTCTGCCGCCATGGTCACCAGTGTCCAGCGTGCCAGTGGATGCAAGGGCCAGGGAAACTCCAGCCAAGACGAGAGTCTAGAAGCCTCCAGCAGAGAGGAGAGCCGAGAAGCTGCACGTCGGGGACGACGGCAAGATCTACAACTCGCAGAGCGAGGTGGTAGAGCTCGAGAGCATCGAGATAGAGTGAGCCACGGCGGTGCACAAGGATCCTCCAAGGACGTCCGCCAATCTTCCGAGGACGTCCACCATCCAGGAATATCCGATAGTTCTTCTTCCTTGGGACTCTCGCTTCTGATGCAAGAAAAGCTTGCGTTTGCATGTGAGCATGATGTTGCAGTTGAACTTGGTGAGCATGCATGTGTTGGTGGTTTGGGTGAGCATGATTTGCAGCATGGTGAGTTGCTTGAGCATGTTGGCCAGAATCGACCACAGCGTGACCGGAGCGAAGGCCCATGATAGCCGAGTGAAGCATGGTTGCTTAGAGGGGATCGGGAACTGTTGTTGCAGGAGAGCTGGAGTGCTAGAGCGAGAACATGTTCTTACAGGGGACTCCGCAGCAGATCGCATGTGCCGTACAATGCGTCTTGCCTGCAATGCGTGCAAAGGTCGTGGACTTGAACCCGCCAGAACCCAGGATTGGCCCCAGAACTCAGGAATGAGAGAGGTACAAATAGATAAGTTTTTCTATAAGGGCCTTGCGTTCCTGGTATTGGTTTTGGTTGGTGCCTTTTGCCCTCGGTGTGGTTCCGTACCGTGAGGTGAGCGGATCTCGAGGCCCAGCAGCCAAGGAAGCCATGTTGAATGACATGTCGGCATGGAGTCGTAGCGTTGGCTTGGTTGGTGTTGCTCCCAGTGAGTTGACGGTGAGTGTGAAGTCGGACATTGAGGGTGTGGTGAAGAACCTTGCGCAGAGTTTTGCTGATGGTTTGACCGCCGGTGCCATCGAAGTTGTGGATGCCCCTGTTGGTTGGCATGCTGTTGTTGCAGAGCGTGCTGTGAGGACCATCAAGGAAGGTGCAAACACACTGTGTGCTGGGTTGGAACAGGTCGGCTTGGAGCCCTGCGGGAAGGGTGTCACGTATCTTTTGATGCACGTTGCCCAGGTCTACAACCGGTACCAGGTGCATCCTGGATCGGCGTTGTCCCCAGAACAGCGGTGTTTGAAGACCACCCGTGGACCGCATGCCGCATATGTTTGGGGTGCTGCTGTGCTTGCCACTCCTCCTCCCTCTTTGCGTGACAAGATCACCGGCCGTTACGGCCACGCCGCCTACCTTGGACCAGAGGTTGGAAGTGGAAGCCACATTGTGCAGTTTAGGCTGCGGGATGGCGCCTTGAAGATTGCGAGAAGCGCAAGAATCCGGATGCTGGTTCCTCTCACTTTTGAGGTGTCGAGCTTGAAAGGTGTTTGTCGCATGTTGCCTGGAAGAAGGGATGATGCCCAGAAGAAGCTCCCCGAGAGCAGTGGTGACAATGTGCGCGACCTCCCGTTGCCGAACACCGCAACCCGAGGACCACCACCAGAGTGGATTGAAGAAAACGGAAGAACCCCAAGGTGCCGAGCTTGCCGGCTGCGCGGCTTCCCCGCGGATAAGGCCTGGCACACCCAGAAGTGCCGTGATCGATACGCCGAGTTTGTGCGGAACTCTTTCGATCCCAGCCGGGCAATCCTCGATCAAGCCCCAATTGAAGAAGAAGTGACTGGGCGTGATGATTTGGGTGCTGGATTTGATGTTGATCTTGGGCTTGATGTGCCGGATGATCTTGATCCGTTCCCGAATTTTCCATTGGACGAGGATTTGGCTGAGTATGAGCCCAGTCTGCCCGGAGTTGAAAATGAGATTGAGCTTGGAGAAGAACTCGAGCAGATCGAGGCCCCGAGCCCGGGCGAGCTTGATTTCATGCAAGTGGATCCTGAACCTCTTGAGGCACTCCCTGAAGAAGAGCGGGAGGCCATGGTGTCTAGTGTGATGTACCGAGAGTCCATCTCCTTTGCTGGTGCGTCGGTTTGCTTTGCCGGGGCCGCCACCAAGGCTGTTACTCCTCAGGTTGTTGGGCTTGGGGGGGAGAAGCTGTTTGTTGAAGTGCCAGCTTCTACAAAGGATGATGTGACTGGGCACCTGCTTGATATTGGCTTGACCTATGAGGGCATGTTGCGTGAACTTCGTGCTCTTGAGTCGCTTGCTGTCGGTGATGTTGTGTGGCATGTTGATCCGAAGCAGAAGGTGATCTCTACAAGGTGGGTCTCCAATGCCAAAGTCGAGCGTGTTGAGGGAAAGGAGAATCCGCTTGTCAGGTGTCGGGTTGTTGCTCGTGACTTTGCGCAGGGAGCGACCGCGGCACAGCTTGGCATCTCTGCTGCCACAAGCTCTGCAGAAGCGCTGCGAACTTTTCTTTTCTACGCGGGATCGTCGGGTTGGATGTGAGCACCGCGTTTCTCTTTGCGGACCTCGACGAAGAAGATGGCCACATTGTGGTCAGGCTGCCAGACGGAGTGAAAGGTAAGGACGGCCGCCGCGGCTACTTGCGCCTAAAGAAGGCCCTATATGGTCTAAGAGTTGCAGCTCAGACCTGGTCGCGTCACCTGGCAAAGCTGCTGAAGAAGCTCTGTGACCTGGAGCCATGCGAGACTGAAGCTTGTTTGTTTGCAGGCTCTGTGCTTGGAGGCCAGCGTGTGGTTGTTCTTTGCTACGTTGATGATCTTCTCATCACGGGAGACAGCGATGAAGCTATCTACCATGTGGTGGAGCAGCTGAAGACCGCTGTGAAGGTGAAGGTCACAGCCGATCTGGACCGCGACGGTCAGATCACCTTCCTTGGAAGACAGATTGCCCGAGAGCATTCTGGTGACTCCCTGTGTGTCACAATGTCCGATTCCTACTACGAGGAGATCTACAAGGGTTTCTTCGGGAACTCCAAGGTGACCGCGTGTGGCACGCCGCCCAACCTAAAGGAGTTGTACGACAAAGAAGATCCTTGCTTGGAGAAACCCCTGTCTTCTGAAGCTGCTGCGAGGTTTCGCAGTTCCCTGGGAAGGCTGTCATGGCTTGCGATGACAAGAGTGGATGTGGTTTACTACGTCAGCATGCTGGCCCGAGGCCAGGCGAATCCACTCGAGAAGCACGAGAGAGCTATGAGGGCTATGTTGCGTTACTTGAAGTATATTCAGGGTTTTAAGCAGGTAGTGAACCCAGTTTCTGAAGAGAACCTGCGCCTTGATTGCTATGTGGACGCTTCCTGGGGTAGCGAGAAGAATGTTGACAGGAAGAGCATCAGCGGAGGGTGCGTGATGTTGGGAGGCTTCTGTTTGAAGGCCTGGAGCCGTCTGCAACAGGCTGTTGCCTTGAGTTCTGCCGAGAGCGAGCTCTATGGGCTTGTGGAGGGTGCTAAAGAGGCTCTCTCTATCCGGCGCGCCATCTCGCATGTCTTTGGGTGGGAAGATCTGCCAAAGCCCCATCTTTTCTGTGACAGCGAGGCTGCAGTTGCTATCAGCAAGCTGATGGGCTGAGGAAGGTGAGGCACATCGACCTTAGGGCGTGCTTTATCCAAGACCAGCTCAAGCAAAAGCAGATTTTTATCTTTGGCGTGCGTGGTGAAGCCAATGTTGCAGATTTGTTCACCAAACCTTTGAGTTGGACTGTTACCTTGAAGCACATGTGGGGACTTGGCTTGCGTGACGTTGCCGTTGTTGCTTGTGCGCTTGATGGCTTTGTTGCGTTATGCGGTGCAATGCTTGTTGGTAAGAACCATGTTAGCTTGCGTGACCGTTTTGCCGCCATGCCGCATGCCTCTTGGTTGGTGATTGAGTTCTGTGCCCCCGTTGAATCATCGATGAGAGCGGCTAGCCAGGACTCGAACTGGGTGAATGTGCTTACTGTGAGTGAGCGTGATGATGGTGCCAGTGCACAGACCTTGCTTGAGCTCAAAGCCATCTTTGCTGCGCAGATCAAGAAGAAGGGTTTTGTCTTCTTGTGGGCCAGTACTCCGTGCACCGGAGGCTGCCCATATCAAAGGCTGCGTGCCCGTGATCCAGCTTATCGCCGAGGGCGGTTGGCTCAGCACTGGAGGCTGCACCGAAAGCTCTGGAGAAGCTTGGTCGAGCTTACTAGCTTTGTGCATGCTTGGGCCATTGAGTGGCCACGTGCTTGTGCTTACTGGTCTTGGCGCCAGACTGAGCATTTTCTTTCTTCACGCTCCTACGTTTTGCACGACGTTCCAGTTGATGGTTGCGCGCTTGACATGCGAGGCCGCGATCATCTTCTTATCGCCAAGCGGTGGCGTGTTGTTACCACACACCCAGCAGTTGCTGAGAGCATTCGTGTCTATCGTTGCTCTGGGAAGCATGAGCACTCGAAGGACTTCGACCTCAAGAGTACACAGCACTACCCGACTACCCGATAGAGCTTGTAAAGTCCTTCTTTGAAGCGTTGCGCCCTTGACTTTTTACGAGAGTCTTGTCGTTGTCGAGGACATGTTGTTGCATGTTTGCTGCGCAGCCCGTTTGCTCAAACTTTCCGGTGTTTTCTTTCTTTGCCAGGACGTTTAAGATGTCTCTGGTTCCTTTCGCTGCCGAGCGTGCCATGGTGTTTGGCCTGGTTGTGGAAGTGCAAGAGAAGCTTCTCGAAGTACCGAGTGTCGGGCTTCTCGCTGTTGTGCTTGTCCCACTGCTTGTGGGTGTTGCGCTTGGAGTGTGCTTGCAGAAGCTGCGTACCGAGAGCTCCCGCGTCAAGACTGTGCAGGACCTTCTTTCGTTTCTGCCAAGGTCAGGCCAGAAGATGGCTGTCTTTACTTCTGCTTACGGAGACTGTTTCCACGTGCGTAGGGACTGCCACGGCCTCAGGAACGCGATTCCGAATCGCATCGCTGCTAAAGTGGCGTGCGAGTACTGTTTAAGGGATCTCCACCTGGTACCTCCGACAGCTACTGCGTCGTGGGGGGGTGTAGAAAACCAGTGCTCTGCCCAGTAGTGTTTAGGTGCGACACAGAGTTTTCCTCGGTACCTGTATAGTTGTATAGTTTTGCTAGTTTCAGGTGGTTAGTGCCTGTAGAACGTAGTTTGAGCTTGCGTGACGGTTTTGCGGTAGCCTCAACCTGTTTTCCCTTGTTTTGTAGTGCTTGGGAGCTTTTAAGAGGTGCCACGACTACTGTCGTTTGGCTCAAGACACGTGAGACCAGCAGTGAGCTGTGCGTGCTAAAAGTGTGAACTGTCCGAGTGTTTTGTGAGCTTGCTTTGCTTGCAAGGGTGCTTGGAACTTGTTTGCCTTAAACCTGAAGAGCTGTTCGCCTTCTAGGTTTTTAACGTATTTAAAGGCCAAGTTGCGCAGCCACGTGGAAATCCGTCGATGCTTGGAAACTATGGAAATTGAGCGTTGCCAAGTAGGAAGAGACGCGGGAGTGTTTTTCCGCGTAAAGCTGTCGGGCGGCCCTGCGCTCTTGCTCCAATGGCACGAAGTATCTGTCGGGTGGCAGCAGACAGTGGGGCTCCAAAGAGCACCGGTACGGCCTGAACTGTTATCGGTGCCGCAATGCTCCGGGAGTGTGGCCATGGCAAATCTGCGGCACACAGCGCGGACTCACGCCCGTAGCCAAATGGCCAGGGCAGAACAAGAGCTCTAAGCCAAGCGGCGACCCGCAGATGCTCTGTGTCCGAGCACTCCGGGCGTTTTATTTAGAGAACCCGGCGAAAGTGTAGAGGAACGTCCAATCGCGTTGTAGTAGGTGTGACAGTGGGCCGGCAGGCTGTTTTCCAAGTTCCACCGCCGGTCGGAGTCCCAGGGCCTCTTCAGAGAGCGGGAGATATATGCGGAAGCGTCTCTGATAAATTGCTGGGTGAGTGAAGATGTCCGAGTTTACGCAGAGATGGTGAAGCGCAACCACGCCATTCTTCCATTTATGTCGTATCCAAGCCTCTATCTGCAATTGCAGCCGACAGATATCTTCTGCCGAAAAGGTGCGGTACAGACGAGTGCTTCGAAGCCCACTGCTTCTGTGCACTGCTCAGGGCTCGGGCGCTGCCTGAGGCAGTCGCTGCCCTCTACCCGCCCTTTTAAGGTCCCAGCACGTGCGCAGTCTCACACCGGTTTTCTTTGGTTCTGTTTCAATTCCTTCTCTTCGGCCGCCCTGGCAATGAGAATTGAGTTACGGCAAGGAGAACCCCCTCCTCAGGCACTTTCGAGGTCTATCTGCCCCCTTAGGCGATGGCCTTTGGGAGGGTTCTTTGTTACATCGCCTAGGTCTGTGAGGGTGGCTCCCCCCTGCAGTCCCTTTATGGCGTCACCGCCCTGTGTCTTGCCTACGACACACTGCCAATGAAGCTACTGCTGCTTTCCTGGCTAATAGGGACGTGTTGCCTCCAACTCCCTGGCCTCCTTCCGGAGGTTGGCGTTTTTTTCGTCGGCAGTTAGCTTTTGTACAGCGCTCCCTGGTGCTTTGCACGGCACTGTGCTCGGTATCAGGGATGTCCGCCTGGTTGGCCTCTTTAGGCTCCGCAGGCCCCCTGGCCCAATGCAGCCCTAACTCGTCTGCAGGCACGTGGGCGCCGCGCCACCTGTTAGGAAGATGAGAGGCAGCGTCGTCCCTGCGCCTTGTTGAGGGGAAGCGTTGGCCCTGCGCTTTGTTGAAGGGCGTGGGCGGTTAGGGTTGCTTTCGGGTTAGGACCTGTTGCTCCGATGGGGCTCTGCCGGACGCTACGACACGTGGCTTTTTTGTCGAGGGAGGTCTCCCCTCCGGGACACGGTGTGCCCGGCGTCGCTCTCGTGTTGTGTCTGTTTTCCCGTGGTGGTTTACACCTGTCAGGGTTACTCCGCGGGCGCCTGTACCGGCCGCCTCCTTAACGTCAGGGCTGGCCTGTTGCGGCACTGCCCTTCCTCGAGGCGTGTGGCGTGGGGACACCGGTGCGTAGCGGTGGTTAAGAGATTCGCTCCGGCGGGTCTCGACCACTTCATCCTCCAGCTTTGCTCGGAAAGCTTCTGGTTGGTTGTCTTTCACCCGGTTCCTCTCAGCTCAGCACGAGTTCGGCTCAGGTACTTCCCTGCTCCGTAAGAGCGTGAACACGGGAGCCTCCTGTTCTGCTCTGCAGGGGACGGCCTCTCTCCTTGGGACGTGTTGCACTCCCGGTGAGGACGTGTCTCACTCCTCTGATGTGCAGCTCTGCGGGACCGTAGGCTCCGTAGTGCAGAGCAGGGACGCTTTTCGCTCCCTTAGGACTGTTCGCACTCCTTAGCACATCTGGGACGAGGTTACTCTCCCGTAGGACTTAGCTCCCTTTTTCCGCCTGCGACAGTCTTCTTGTTTGCATATTCAGAAACCTCCCCCCCGCCCCCTCAATTTCAATGTGTGCCGCAATGTGTGCCGCAATGCTCATTGGGCGCTTCTATGTAAACAATGTGTGCCGCAATGTGTGCCGCAATGCTCATTGGGCGCTTCTATGTAAACATTGAATTTGGGGGGAGCGGGGGGTCTGGAAGGTTTCAAGATTTGTGGACAACCAATTCCAAAATTGTACTATCGCGCGAGGCCATTTTCTGTGTTCGAAAAACCACGAAAACTGTAGGGCGCATTAAGGTACCCCCATAGTAGAACGGCCGGAGCTCGCACTTTGGGCTCCACCGGTGGTCTTGGAAAGCTCTCGGCGACGGATTTTGCTGTTGAGGATCGGTCGCTGAGGGCCCGTCGCTCGTGGCAAAGCCTGTGAGCTAGCCTTTGCTTCTTTCGTGCCGCCCAGTTTCACCGCTGTTTTCGTTTGTTTGTCTTGTTTGTGGAGACCGTGCAACAGCCGTAGTGAGGCCGTTCGAACATCGAAGTTCCTTCTAAACCCGGGTCGAACTTTATTTGAAGTCTAAGTTGAACTTCACGACTCACGGAACAAATGGGATTAGAGTAGGCGGTTCATCTCTGTCTGTGATCGCTTTCCCCCTGTGGAAGCCGTTGCGACCGACGATATACGTCGTTGAGTCTATTTCACCCTCCATGTCACTCATGCCCTCGATACCAAGTTGATGCACCATCATCTTGAGCTCGGACCTGGGCTGGTGTGCACGTTCGAGACGGAACGACACACAGGGGCTGCTGAGGCTTCGTAGTTTGGGCCACGGGTCCAGGCCGTTAGATTGATCTCCTCGGCGGACATCGAAGCGTCGTTGTCACGTTCGCCAGGTCCTGGCTGCACTACGTGGGGTCAACTGTGTCCTTCTTTGAGGGGCGGATCCGCTGGGCGTGGGTGCAGTTCCGTTCTGATGGTCCACGAGCGGAGAACGCCAACCCCTGCACGACGCTGCCGTGTGGGTCGCTACCAGGCATCCCTGAGGGCGCCGGGAAAGGCACGGCTAGGCTGTGGGCTTGCCTGTGGTTGCTGGCGGGCTCGGTGGCCACGTCACTGGGGCTTGGATGACGCCCCGTTCCGTACTGCGGACAGTAACGCACCGCAACGTCCTGCTCCTGCCACATGCGTGCTGTGTGCTCCTAAGCTTCGCCGCCTGCCTGCGACATACGTCGCTCGCCCCTTCACCTGTCATCGTGTTAGTTCCCACCTCCGAATGGTGTCTTCAATTGCTGCCATGGCCGCCACAACGGTTTGACGATGCTGTGGAAGCGTGTGACCTGCGCGTCAATGTCCGCCTTGGCGATCTCTGCCTGTCTTAGCGGCTGACCCAGTGTTCCAGCTCACGGCTAGGGACATTGATTTGATTCTGCTGGCGGCGGCGGCCATGCGCACTAGCGTGTCGTGGTCGAGCAACTTTGTCACTGCAGGACGCCGGCAGTATGCCCGTGAGGGTGTGGCCCACGCAGGTTGCCAGTGTCGCATCAGAGCGGCGTCTAGGCGCTTGGCACGCCAAGGGTCGATGGTGTTTGTCCCCTTGAGGTGTGTGTCCAATGATGGCGGTTGCATGAGCGGGTTGCTTGCCTGCGGCACTGGTCTTCGCACTCCTTATCATGCAGTGGGCCTTGGACTTTTGGATTTTGGTGTGCACGATCATGACGGAACAAAACACAGGGGTTGTCCGTTGTCTGGCGAGACTAGAACGGCAACCGGAGCCTGGACTTGGCTCCACCTGTTGTTTTGGGCAGCTCTGAGAGACGGCTCTTTGTTGCTCCTGACCGGTCGCTGAGGCTCCGTAGTTTGTGCTGAACGGCTAACACCGGCAAAGCCTGTGCGCCGCAGCCCTTTGTAGAGCTTCGCTTTGCTGTTTCACCGCTTTGTTGTAGTTTGATGCTTGGATTGTAGTTTCGCTTGTTTGTAGGGACCGAGTGCTACAGCCGTAGTCGACGAGGCCCAGTCAAGCCAAAAAAAAAAGTTGAACTTCACGAACTTCTTGAACTTAACTTCAACCTAGGGTTCGAACATGGAGTTTAGAATTTCCGTAAGAGACATAGAGTTCCGGAACCCAGAGTTCGAAAAAATA